AAAAATTTTCAAAACTGATATGTTCCTCCTACCCAAAGAAATAGAGGCTCAAAAGCATTCATCACATCTTCTTCTTTTCATCAAAGAATGAACCATTTCTCTTATCCTCAAGCTTATAATTCTCAAAGTAGCTCTAATCACCCTCATACACTTTCTAGCAACCCCACATTTGAAGATAAATTGTTAGTAGTTTTGGGTAGCTTGGAAATGAACACCAATTTGTTGCATTCTCGTTCTCAATCGATATCAAAGCTTGAGTCTTAAATCGAGATGATAGCTAATGCATTGAATGCGAGAGAAATTGGTAAATTGCTTAGCCAACCCGAAAGGAACCCAAAAGCTCAACATTTTGTAGAAGTAAACTCCACATCGGGGTGTTTTTTCCAAGAGCAAGTGCAAGCAATTACTACTTTGAGAAGTGGTAGACAAGTTGACAATAGGGTTGAACAACCAAGTGAAGATAGTGAACTGGTGCAACCAAAAGTTAACACCCGTCTCGTTTCCAATCTTATTCTTACTTCCTTGGATGAGCATGGCCCTAGAGGGAATTCTTAACCTTCTTCATCATCCCCTCAAGTTGCAATGTCTTATGAGCCAAAAGCTCCATTTCCTTATGCTTTGATAGAAACTTCACCTTTTGGGAGGCAAGAGGGAAAAATCCATGACATGATGGAAGTCTTCAAACAAGTTAATATAAATCTTCTTCTCTTGGATGCAATTAGGCAAATTCCGCCTTATCTGTCCTTTTCCTAAAATATCCCAAAAATATCTCAGATTTATCATTATTCCAAAAGGCGCCGCCAAGGTTCGATCGATTTGACCATACTTCTAGCGATCGAACCCCCTCAAGTGCGAGAAAAACAGAGTTCCAGCTAATTAAAAGGTGTGCTCGTGGTGCAATCATTTAGAGGTCCTAGTGCACGAGGTCTGACCATTGGGTGTGACACTTGAGCTACCTATATAAGGATTTTGAGCCATTTTACACATATACAATCTTAGAGTAAGGAACCATATATAAAAGAGAGTTAGAGGAGTTTAGAGATTAGAGAGGCACACACCATTTGGGAGTTTTTCTACTCATCTAGGGTTTTGTATCAAGGAGAAGAAGATCATTCCTACCATGGAGATTGATGCGACCTGAGCGTGTGCACAAAATAATGCACCACACTTTAGGTTTAAAATTAATGTCAAGTGGGCATCATATTTTATAATTTATAAAACCGCTAGACACTTATACTCTGAAGTATATAGTGAGTAGGGATCGAACCCAAGAGATTGAACACGTGTTGGGATTAAACTTGATTTTAGTGCTAATGAGATTGCACAAGAGAGAGAGATAGAGAGAGAGAAAAAGATTTTTGGTGAAGTGATTAAACTAGAAATCGAAAGCATGAAATAGAAATGACAATGCAAGTAAATTAAATTAAATTAAACTAAGAATTAAAGAGATATGAAGAGAGTCTTAGGGTTAGGATTCACCACTAAGCTTATGCAATTAACCACATGCTTTCAATTAATGGGGAATTCATTAGTGTAATTATAGATGTAGCCACATTATCATCACAAATCACAATTGTAAGCATAGATTATCAACATCAAGAATGAGTTGTCTATTTAATGACAATTAAACTAAAGTGTAGAACCCATTCAAGACTACGTCATAACCCACCATATACATTCATAAATGTATCAAATAAGAGCACACATCAATCAAGAGAATAATACTAATTGTAATTAAAAGCATGGATTAACATAATCAAGCCAAATTGCCTACTTAACTACAATTAACTAATAACAAGAAAGCTAATTTGTAGAACAACCCATCAAGATTAAGCCTTTACCCATCAAATTAATTGACAATTGTATCAAATAAGTATCACGTTATGACCATCACTAAACACAACTACAAGAAGTATTTAATGTAGAATATAATCCTAAAGCAATCACACATAGACATGCAAATTACATATAGAATTAATGAAAGAATTAAGTTTTAATCATCTAATGAAGAATAAAATCCCGAATTAATCATACATAGACATACAATCAATTGGAGATTTCAATGGAAGAATTCATCAATACAAACCCTAATTTATCAAATCAAGCATGTATATATAAAGAAATCACAAGGTGTAATACCCCTAATTTTAAAAGGACAGTTCTGGAATTTAATTATTGTATTTAATTGCATTTTATTTTATTATGTGTCATTTTATTGGATTATTTGTTTGATAATTGATTATCTGCTTGTTTGTCATTTTATTTGAATTAATTGTTTTCTTTTATTAATATTATTATTTTTGTTATTGGATTATTTTGATTTGGGTTAAGTTAAATGTTAATTTATTTTAGATTAGGATTATATTTCTATGGAAGTTATTTAAACGTTAAATTATATAATTAAGTTGATTTACGTATATGTCAGTTAGGGTTGGAGTTACTGTAGCCGACCTAGGTTGTATTAAGTCGCCGTGTATTGTAACTTGGATAATTGCATGGGCCGACTAAGGGTTTGCATTAGGGCTCTAGCTATATACGGATTAGGGTTGGAGAATTAAGCCTATAAATATATTTCTTCATGTGGGTTTAGGGTTTAGCAAACAAACATCACACAACCTGCATTCACGTATCAGGTTTTCAGAGAGGGAAAAACAGAGCGTTGTAGAGAGTTTCAGAGAGAACCTTTGGGGATTGAAGGAAGAATTCAAGGAGAAGGTTGGGGATTGAATTAGGAGTAGCAGAGGGAGTTAAGACAACCATCGTTGCCGGAGTTGACAGAGGTCTACAGTTCCACAGTCTGAAACTGAAGGCAAGTTCTGTTTCCACTCTATCTCTTTAATCTGTGTTCTGTACAGGCTTAGAAAGACTCTAAGGATTAAACCAAGATTAAAAACAGATTAATGATTAAATTTATCTTGTATGCATGTTCAAACGGAAATAAATCTCGTGAATCAAACTGTGCAAATTTTTAAAGAACTGTGAACTGATGCATGCTGTGTCTTGGGTTCAAGCTTGGTTAATTGGGATTATTGATGCATGTTGGGGGGTTTCTCATATAATCTAGGATAGTGTATAAACACTGGAACAAGGTTTTAAAATACTAAATAGGTTTTGAACTTAGCCGGAGGCGAGGAAGACAACCAGAGAAGAAATTACGGCTCTCAAAGGAGGAGAGCCGGCTCACCAAAGGAGGGAGCCGGCTCTAGGGGGTGTGAGAGCCGGCTCCACAAGGGATTGGAGCCAGCTCCACAAGGGTAGAGCCGGCTCCAATAAGGGAGGAGCTGGCTCCACCAAGAAGGGAGGCGGCTCCAATATTCTGGAGGCGGCTCCAGCTTCTTTTCTTGCTTCTGCGTGATTTTGGGTTGTTTCTGGACCTATGGGAAGATGACTGGGTTGTTTCAGTGGGTAAAATTGGGTTGTATAATAGTTCCAGAGATGTAAAAAAAATGGTTGGAAGTATTGTTAATGGTATTGTGTTGAACCTTGAAGCAACCTAAGGTTAAACGAAGAAACTGCATATGTGAAGTTGTCTTTGAAATCTTTGTAAACTGTTTACTGCTTTGAGCAAAGTTTTGGGTTCTTTTGCATGTTTAAATTTATCAAGCATGTTCAACTATGTTATAAGCATATGTTTATCTATCTAAAAGATTAAGTATGCTTAAATGGAATTAATGGATGTTTTAAATTTATCAACTATTGCATCAGATATGGTTGTGCAGGAAGAGTGGTAGGTTTCAGTCTTACTTAATAAAATGGGACTGGAAAGGGATTTCTAAACCTTATGTAGGATGATTAATGTGTAGTACACATGTTAAACTGTTTATATGCAAATCTTGAAGTATGGTGGATTGGTATTTATTACTGTTCCGTCAACTATATTAACTGGAGGAACTACATGTACAGTCTTTTCATATATATATAAAGCACTGTAATGTGATATTTAAATGGTATATTGGATGCATAAATTGGTTGTAAATATGTTAAACTATATTTATGTTTCTTTTGGAAATTAGTTGATACATGTTTATGCTGTGTTATTAACTATGGAACTGGAGGATTGTATGTACCGGTATGGGACGGTGGCATACTAGGTATGGATTAGTACAAACACTAAGTCCTACCTAATTTGGATTAAGGTATGGATTAACCATATGGGTTAAGTCCATCACCTACATGGGTCATATCAATTGAGAATTGAATGAACTACTATGGGTTCAGGATGGATTTGTTATACAATATATCAAACTGTTACAAAGTTGGATGGTATTTTGTATTAGGAGGAGTATGGATTTTATATATGTATTTTATGGTACTATGGTATGAGTTTGAGTCTCAGGACCATAGTTAGGGCGCGTATATTGCCTAGGATGGATAACTGGATATAGATGTTGTTCCCTGGTAGATCTAGGTACTCATGCCCACCTTAGGGTGCGTATTCGCATGTTGCCTTCTATTCAGGCTGAGACAAACCTATTGGACTAGCGAGCGTCCTATTAGTGTGTACTATATAGATATGGACCACTCTAGATATTGTTGGGTCTTTCTAGGATGTATCTGCGTATCAAATTACTGTTTGGATTGTAGTAGATTAGGACTTGCATGTGGGCCTGACCCACTCCTTTGTTTTTCAGGTGTTCGTCAGTTCCAGGGTTAGAGTTTGGACGTGCAGAGCCGATACAGCTACTCATTCCTCCCACTACGTAGGGATCTACTTTATGTTAGCTTTAGTTTTATTTCTGTTATTTCAGTTTCGGATTAAGAAGTTTAATAAGGGGTCCAATTGATGGATTCCCATATGGAGATTTGGATTATCAGTTTTGGATATTTATTTTAAGGATATTATTTTAGTTCCTTTCAATTTCTATTATTTTTATTTCTTAAATAAATTTTGTATTCCGTATTTGATTTAAAATATTAATTGTTTGATATCCCTCGGGTTTGGGCCTGGGCCTGATCAACCCGTGTCTCGGATTCGAGGGGTATCACATAAGGCCATATAATTTAATTACAACATAATAATTCCCCAAGAAAAGAAATACAAAGGTTAGGGTTACATGAACTTAAGGCTCATCCAAGCCCTAAGTGAAGAACTAGCTCATGAAGAAGATGATCATGGTGTCAACAAGCTCCATCTCCATCTTTTGGCTCCTTCTTCTTCTCCCTTCAATTGTAGATAGAGCCTTCATAAAAAATGTTCTTCCAACCCTAGCTTTCTCCTTTTTCCCAAAGAGAACGTAATATCACGGTACAGAAAAAAATAATAAAAACTTAATCATAAAATAATAAAACTCTCTCCTAAATAAAATAAAAACTAACCCTAAACTAATGACTCACTGGGCCTTAAGTAATAACCCTATTTAAGCCCAATAATTCACAAAATAAGCCCAAACAATAAGAAAAATCTGTAATGTTGCCAAGTCCTGGGGGATCGATCCCCCACCCTGGGGGATCGATCCCCCCAGAGTTGGAAATTTCCTTTAATCCCTATTTAGCTCCATTTTGGCCCCGAACTCATTAGTTTGCTTCTTCATCTTTGGGAACATCATCAAAGGCCTGAGATTGACCGCTTTTGAAGAATAAACACACTATATGAGCAATGGGCTGTGACCTCCTTTTTGCCATTTTCTGAACTTTTTCTGAATATCTTTGCTTGACTCCAAAAAGGCTTTAATGGACCGTTCTTAGCTCATTTTAACTTTATTGCCCTGAAATACACATAAATATAAATTAGGACTAAAACATAAAATTAAGATAGATGCAATGACTGAAATATCCTAACTTAGGTGCTGAAATGTGCAACATTTAAGCACTTATCAAAATCAATAACCCTACTTCAATGACAAATTTTTTTTTAAATTATCAATTCAAATTTTTATGCACTTTTTTTTTTTTTAACAACAATTTAACTATTTTTTTTTTTTTTTAAAAAAAAATGGAATCTGGAACCCAATTAACAACTCACAAACTTGCCAAAATCACAAAATCAGCACTTACCCACATACTTGCTGGAGAAAACCCAGTCAAAAGCCGCCGGAATCGATGAAGAAACCAAATCAAAATCTAGCCAAAATCGCTGGAGGGAACAGCCAGTTGCAACGCCGGAAAAATAAAGGGCGAGTCTCAAACAGCGCCGGAATTTCAGCCCAGCCGAAATCGTTCTATTGCGGTTTTTTTTTTTTCTATTTATTTATTTTCATTTTGACCCACAAACTAGCCGGCGATAAGCCTAGCCGAAATCATTGGCGACACCAAGTCCAAATCGCTGGAAACAGCGACCAAGAAAACGGCAAACGGCGACCCACAAAATCGCCGGAGAAGATCCGCAAACCAGCCGCGATCTACGGAGAGAATCCAGCCGCGACGCCGCAAAGATCTAGCCTTGATCGCTGGAGAAAAGTAGCGACCCAGATGCGATGCCGGAATATAACCCAGGAAACGGCGCTTGAAAAGGAATAGCCGCGATCAGAAAAGCACGGCCGGTGACTGGAAGGTGCGCTTGAAATTTCAGAGACTGCGGCCTGAGGTTGGGATGGGTTCGATGCGGCCGAAACTGGGAGATGGTAGTGTGGTGCTCGGTGTTGAGAGATAGGAGATGAAGGGTGATAAGGGAAGAGTGAGGCAGCTTGGGTTAAGTGCAGCTAGGCGATGATGATGAAGCAAATAGGCGACGGAGAGAAGTGAGGGCTGAAAAGGGCGCTCGATCCTCTTTGATGGGGGATCGACAATTTTAGGCAAAATTTTTTCCCTTTGTTGTGTAATGTGAGAAAGTGAAAGTTGATCGATCCCCATGGTTGTGGGATCGATCCACATGGGGCAATTTTTTGTTGCTCTCTACCAGGCATGGGATTAATCAATTCCCTTGTATTAATCAGGCAATTTTTTTTTTAATTTTTTTTTTTAATATATACACTAAAAATAAAAATAAATAAAATAAATAACTAAAAAGAATATATTCACTAAAATGAAAAATAGATAAATAAAATAAAAATAAAAATAAAATTAATAATAAATAAAATTAAAATACAATCACTTACAAATCTATACTAACTAGTACTATTTTTTTATTTTTTTATTTTTAATTTTTTATGTTTTTGAATAAAGCAAAACTAAAATGAAATGTATATATATAATAATTAACAAATAAATAATAATAATAATAATAATAATATAATAAAATACCAACCTGTACTATCCACTACAATTTTTTTTTTATTTTTTATTTTTTATTTTGTATTTTCTAAAAGTAGAATTGTACAATAAATAAAATAAAGTTTAAAAAATAAATAAATAAAATTTTATTTAGACAAAGACGCAAGAAATAAAATAAAGAGAAATGAATGAGAAGTAAAGTCGGGAAACTCTACGAAAAACTAGTGTTTAACGTCTCTAGCAAGACGTTTTTGTGACTCACTAGTCGAAAGAATCGAAAACCGGATATGAGACATCCTCATTGATCCGTTTATCTATTTTTCCCAATGGATCTTCTCTCACAACAATGAATACATCTCCCAAAAGAATGATTTGGAAAGAAATGATGGAAGATGCAATTTGTTCCCTTTCATCCATGGTCTTGAAAATAAAGTCCATCATGATCGGCCTTGCACTTGGCAAGGTAATGTTTTTCAAAGACTCGGTTGGATTATTAGGAAACTCAATCTCTTCATTCTTTTTGTCAACTTCCACATTGATCACTATCTCCTCCTTCACTAAGGTCGCCTCAATGACTTCATGCTCAATATTATAAGGAATGTCCTCATAAATTGGATTGGCCATTGGTGAACTTACAACTTCTTCCTCTTTTTGATAAGAAAGAGTACTTGCGATTGGAGGAAGAGGTTCTTTTGAGTTTTTCCATGGTGAGAAGTTTAAGATGGCCACGGAGTCCATTAGAGAATTAACTTCATATATGGAGCTTTCAATGTCAAATGCGTCCATACTGAAGTGAGAGAGGCATGCCTCAAGAGGATCTTCAAAAGGAATGGAAGGAATGGAAGGAAGGACTTCTTCAACAATTTCATCCAAGACATTCACCATGAAACACTCGCCTTCATCGATAGGATGTTGGCTTGTGTTGAAAACATTAAGCTTAACCATCATATTGCCAAAAGAGATGTCCATAATGCCGGACCTACAATTGATTGTCGCATTAGCGGTGGCAAGGAATGGTCTTCCTAAAATGATGGGAATGTAAGTGGTAAGATTGGGAACCGGCTCAGTGTCAAGCACAACAAAATCAACCGGGAAATAGAATTTGTTGACTTTGATGAGGATGTCCTCAACAATTCCCCTTGGTTGTTTTGTAGACCTATCGGCGAGTTGAATAACTACCGAAGTTGGCTTAAGGTTTCCTAAACCTAATTGAAGATATACGGAGTAAGGAATAACATTAACACTAGCCCCTAAGTCAAGAAGAGCCCTTTTGACCTCATGGTTCCCTATGGTACAAGAGATGGTTGGCGCGCCGGGGTCTTTGAACTTAGGTGGCGTGTTAAGCTTAATGATAGAGCTCACTTACTCCGTGAGAAGCACTTTCTTTTGGCTTGGTCCCTTGTTCTTCCTCTTTTGAGTACACAAGTCCTTTAAGAACTTGGCATATGGTGGAATTTGTTGAATAGCATCAAGAAGAGGAAGGTTGATTTTAACTTGTTTAAAAACTTCCATCACGTCATTGATTTTTCCTTCTTGCCTCGAAAATGGAGTTAAGTTTAAAGCTTGAGGAAATGGAGCTTTTGGCTCATAAGGCTTCTCTACATGGGAGGAAGATGATGATGATGGAATTTGCTCCTTAATGTGACCATTTGTCCCTAGTGAAGTGGGAATGGAATTGGGAATGGTAAATGGGCTAACACTTGGTTGCACCGAAACACTAACTTCACTAGGTCTCTTAACTTTGTTATCAATTTTTCTCCCACTCCTCAAGGTGGAAATGGAGTATGCCTTTTGGTTAAGTTTGGGTTGAATAGGCCCTTTCCCTTTCATTGTTTGAACCATTTGCCCAATTTGGGCTTCAAGTTTTGCAATTGATTGAGAATGCGAATGAAACACTTGATTTTCCTTTCGAAGATCACCCAAACCTTCTAAAACCTTATCCTCAAAAGTGGGATTTCTAGGAGGCTCTTGAGGTGGATGAGAAAAAGATTGATGATTTGAAGAATGAGAATTGGAGAATTGATTCACATTTGGAAGAGGATAAGATGGAGAATGGTATGTTTGAGACTTTGCATTTCGGAGGTGGGGCGGTACATACTTTTCTTGAGAATTTTTATGAAGAGGAGGAATGATACCTCCTCCTTAATTTCTCCAAGAGAAGTGAGGATCACTCCATCCGGAATTGTAGGAGTTAGAATTTGGATTACTTTCCGGATGAATGAAAACAACATTGGCTTGTTCTTAATACTCACTTGGAAAAACTTGTCCAAGAGGACAATTGAAAGTATTGTGAGTATAACTAGAGCAAGTCATGCACATCACACTTTGAGAATGGAAAGAGTTGGATGATTGAATTGCCAGGTTTTGGCTCGAAAGAAATTTATCAAACTTTTGAGTAAGATTTTTGACTTCGGCGGCAATTTCCATGGAACTCTCCACTTGAGAAAGACTGGAGGTTTTCTTCCCTCCTTCATTTAAATTTTGGCCAAATCGGGATGATGAAGAATGATGCATTGAATTTTCGCTCATGCGATGAAAAAGATGCCACACATCGTCTTCATTTTTGTCCAAATAGGCTCCTCTACATGAAGCATCAACCATACCTTTTTGGGTATCGGATAAGCTTTCATAGAAGCAGCGAACTAACTGCCACTTTGGAATGTCGTGATGTGGACACTTCCGTAACAAATTGTTCAAACACTCCCATGCTTCATGTAAAGGTTCTCCCTCATTTTGGGAGAATTCACGGATAGAAGCTCTTATAGCATCGGTTCTACTTGCGGGGTAAAATTTTTTTAGGAATTCATATTGTAGTTGAGCCCAAGATGTGATTGAATTTGCCCTTAAGTTATTGAACCAATATTTAGCCTTTTCCCGAAGAGTGAAAGGAAAAAACTTCATTTTTAAGACTTCTTCCGGAAGGTCCATGATTTTCACGGTTGAACAAACTTCCAAAAACTCATCCAAATGTTTATGTGGTTCTTCATTGCTCACCCCATAGAAAATGGGGCACATTTGGATGGTTGCTGGCTTGATTTCATAATGGGTTGCCCGAAAGTTTGGCAGCCGGATGCATGTTGGTGCATTATATTCATTTGGAGTGTAGTGATCCCGAAGAGATAATTGAGGATTTAGGGGATACATTACATGATCTTGAGGATGAATTTGTATTATTGGAGGTTGTTGCATTTGATTGGGTTGTGGAAACATATTAGGATGTGGAATTCTCAAGGGTGGATGCCCATTAAGAGGGTGATACTCACCTAGATTATCCATATGCCCTAGATCTTAGAATTGATTTTCCATTAAGTGTGGGATAGTCAAGAATGGGAAAAATTCTCCTAGAAACAACAAACCACAACAACAATCAACAACAATTCACCACCTCCACATACGATGTTCCCATACTCCCATGTTATATCAATGCACAAAATTAAATTGCCTCCACACGAGCCGATGCTTTCTATCAAGAAAGTAATAGCCTCATTTTGGGCTTATGCTTGGACAAGAATTTAAACAATGTGATAGCCTCTACAAGGGCTATCTCGCAAGCATGTAGAGAATTGAACAATTATAGTTAAAGAAATTCAAGGAAGCTCACGAAAGTCCGTAGCAACAACGTCACAATCATGCCAAGATCCAATGTTTGCTCCTCTTCTTTTCAAGTACCTAATTGAACAAGAGGGATTTGTAAGAAAATAGTAATTTAAAGAAAACAATCAAATTAACCCTAATGCCTAATTCAATTCCAACTAAACCGTCAATCCCCGGCAACGGCGCCAAAATTATGATGCGACCTGAGCGTGTGCACAAAATAATGCACCACACTTTAGGTTTAAAATTAATGTCAAGTGGACATCATATTTTATAATTTATAAAACCGCTAGACACTTATACTCTGAAGTATATATTGAGTAGGGATCGAACCCAAGTGATTGAACACGTGTTGGGATTAAACTTGATTTTAGTGCTAATGAGATTGCACAAGAGAGAGAGATAGAGAGAGAAAAAAAGATTTTTGGTGAAGTGATTAAACTAGAAATCGAAAGCATGAAATAGAAATGACAATGCAAGTAAATTAAATTAAATTAAACTAAGAATTAAAGAGATATGAAGAGAGTCTTAAGGTTAGGATTCACCACTAAGCTCATGCAATTAACCACATGCTTTCAATTAATGGGGAATTCATTAGTGTAATTATAGATGTAGCCACATTATCATCACAAATCACAATTGTAAGCATAGATTATCAACATCAAGAATGAGTTGTCTATTTAATGACAATTAAACTAAAGTGTAGAACCCATTCAAGACTACGTCATAACCCACCATACACATTCACAAATGTATCAAATAAGAGCACACATCAATCAAGAGAATAATACTAATTGTAATTAAAAGCATGGATTAACATAATCAAGCCAAATTGCCTACTTAACTACAATTAACTAATAACAAGAAAGCTAATTTGTAGAACAACCCATCAAGATTAAGCCTTTATCCATCAAATTAATTGACAATTGTATCAAATAAGTATCACGTTATAGCCATCACTAACCACAACTACAAGAAGTATTTAATGTAGAATATAATCCTAAAGCAATCACACATAGACATGCAAATTACATATAGAATTAATGAAAGAATTAAGTTCTAATCATCTAATGAAGAATAAAATCCCTAATTAATCATACATAGACATACAATCAATTGGAGATTTCAATGGAAGAATTCATCAATACAAACCCTAATTTATCAAATCAAGCATGTATATATAAAGAAATCACAAGACCATATAATTTAATTACAACATAATAATTCCCCAAGAAAAGAAATACAAAGGTTAGGGTTACATGAACTTAGAGCTCATCCAAGCCCTAAGTGAAAAACTAGCTCATGGAGAAGATGATCATGGTGTCAACAAGCTCCATCTCCATCTTTTGGCTCCTTC